TCAAGGAAAAAATAAATTGCAGCTAATTATAGAATATCTTAAAAAGAATATTTTAGGTAAATCAAGTTCATTAGAAATGGGTTATAATTAATATGAAATTTTCCCTTATTATATTTTTCTACTAGCCCATTTTGAATGAGGTAGTCCATACTTTTCTCAAGTGACCAATACATAACTCATAGTTTTAAAGATCACATTTCATAAATAACAAACTCATTAAAATATTTCAAAAATCAGGTGGTAAATAAATTTATTAAATATTAAAATATAATATAATATACCTCAATTATTTATACTCCCTCACCTACCACATCGTATCACCCCACATTCTCTCTCTCACATCCACTACCTACGGATTCCTCACACTCGACCCGTCATCGTCTGACCACCATCCTCCCACTACTACTATTCCTCCTACACCAACCCCACCACCGCATCTGCCTCGCTTTACCCTTGGTTCTCTCTTCCCCAGTCCACTCTCCAAACCCCATTCTCTCAAGTCCCACTCCTTTGAAACCATCAACTACTGGGACTTCATGACCGATCTCGACGTCGCATAGTACTGCTGAAAGAGGAGTAGATCGGCGTAGCGAAACGGATCGGTGAGGTGATTCTGCTGCGCTGCGATGGGTAAAGAGAGGGATGCCAACTGCCGTGAAAAAGGAGGGGGGGAGAGAGAGAGAGAGAGCTTTGCCGAACGGTAAAAAGAGATGGATGACGGCTGCCGTGATAAAGAAAGAGAAATGGGTATAGAGATGTAGAGAGAGAGAGAGATGAGAGGGGAAATTAATTATGGATTGTGATGAATTTTGGTATTATTAATAATATTAAATATTTGAATTAATATGTGATTTTTGTATAAATAAATTTTATGTCTAATTTTTTAAATTAGATCTTAAAAATTCTGGTTTTAGGTAATTTTCCAACTAATTATAGAATATCTTAAAAAGAATATTTTAGGTAAATCAAGTTCATTTGAAATGGGTTACAATTAAGAGGAAATTAGACTATGTACTCTAAATATAAAACATATTTGAAAAATCAGGCGAAAAATAATTAGAAAGTATAAAATACTCTAATTTTACATTAATTTTAGCCCGTCAACAAAATAAACCCTAGATTATCCATTTTCCCCTCTTTTCTGCATTCATCTCTCCTCTTCCTCCAGAATAATACACATTGGCCTTGATCTATGGAAAATGACTATGAAATCCAGTCACGTTCGTCGCTGGCTTCTAATAGGAGAAGTACGGTGACCGTTGCGGCGCCACCACCGATGATACCGTAGAATATGTTGATGGACGAGCCGGATCGGATGTTGAAGTGGCCACGGCTTGTGTTGGACTCCACAATAGTATAAAATATTTGTGGATTCTGTGTCTCATTTGGGGATCAAGAATGATTTGTCCATGACTATAATCCAGCCACAATAATTTCAAATAGTAGTGTAAGAGATGGATATTTTCTCATTTAAATGTACGGGTTGAGTCGAACAGTCGGACTCCTGAAGATCAGACAAAATCTTTTGTATTAATGGAGTGAATTTCAAGTATATAATTTATGTTTTTCTGTAAACCATTAGCTGGGACATGGCCATTTTTCATCAGAAGATCTAAATGATAATGGAAGGAAAATACAAGTGCTGGTTCAATCTAGAATAAAACATTCACCATATTATACTTTCAAGCAATTTTTGCAGGCCAAACACATATAGTACCAACAATCAAGTAGTTATAAGAAGATGATGAATGAGAATGAAGTTTTTCCCGACAAATTCGTCTACTAGATTTGGGAAATCAAGTAAAAAGGATTTTGCATACTGGTCTAAGTTCCCAGCTGATCTTGTTTTGAGTTTGTCACTTTTTTTTAATTGTCTGTCACTTTTTTTAATTTGTGTAATTTCTTTTAATTTATGTCACTTTTTTGAATTTGTTATATTTTTGAATTTTTGTCACTTTTTTTTAGTATTGTCACTTTTTTTAGTCACCTTCTTGATGTCTATCACTTTTTTTATTGACAAATATCAATTTTTAATAAAAGTGACAATGTATGTCATTTTTTAATAAAAAAAAGTGACACTTAACTTTTAAAAGTGGCATTATGTAACTTTTTTTATATATATAAAAAAGTGACATTTTGCTACTTTTTTAATATTATACAGTATTTTTTAGGGTTAATTTCACAAACGGTCACTGAAATTATCTGAAAAGCACAAAACAGTCACTAAAATTTAAAATTTACAAAAACGATCACTGAAATTTAATAATGGTTTGTTACCACTTTTTTAAATAATAAACATAGGTTTTGATTGATGTTTTGTCACTTTTTAAGTATTTGTCACTTTTTTGAGTTTGTATCACTTTTTTAGTGCGTATCACTTTTTTTGAATTGTGTCACCTTTTTTAAAAAAAGTGACAATTTTTATTAAAAAAAAGTGACATTGTGTCACTTTTTTATTTTACACAGTATTTTTTACTTTCTAATAACCTCTCATATGATTTTTCAAAACACCCCTAATTTTAAGGGTATGTTTGTAAGTACCCCTATAATTAATATGAAATTTTCCCTTACTATATTTTATTACTAGCCCATTTTTAATGAGGTAGTCCATACTTTTCTCAATAAATATGGAGTACAATCTTTTTGGATAGGCCCAAACGACCGAATCTCTCTGTGACCTCACCATGAAATGTAGCGCACAGAAATTAATCCGAACTTTTCGAGATCAGAGATGAGAAGAGAAGGTATGTTTTGACAGTCCTCCGAATTTCCAGTTAGGGTTTGATTTTTGAATCTTGCATAATTATATAATGCAAATTCCTTTATGGGTTTAGTTTTTTATACTCCATATATATCAGAAAAGCACTGTAATTTGGATTCTTCTGTCAAGATATGAACTATTTCGTTTAGAAATTCTGCTAAAATTTCTTATTCTTTGTGATGGTTTAGTTGTTCAGTTTGTTCTTATTAAATTCTTCATTCCACATTACTCCATTCTATTATAATTAATTGTGCTTTATACTCATCATGTAAATGTGCACATTGAGGAATGAGATTCAAAATGGAGGTTATGTGTATTTCAAAATAAGTGTTTTAATGTTTGCCCCTGGTTTTAACTTCTGCTTCAGCTCCCTTACCTAGCACAATCAATTTTACTTCTAAGGACTTCTTGTACTAGCTAGAGAAATATGTTTATTTATTGTTATTTGGAAGACTCATTCTTCACTATCAAAACCTAGATGAATTCTTTGCTGCTCGGGAGTTTTTCTTTTGAGTAATTGTGTATTGGTCAAATGGCTACTCCAAAGTTTTTATTTCATTTTTCTAGTTCTGTACAATTGTTGACCTGCTGTCATATATATATTTGCAAGTCCTTCGTTACTTTGAATCGTGGTTGGCCTAACTTGGTTTGTTTTGATCATGTTTACCTTTCAATGCAGTATATATGTGGTTTTACCGACCCTACTTTTCTTACACCCAATATTTATATACATGCATCTTAGAACAAGTGCATTGGATCAACAGTAGATTCTGTTTGATTAGTGTAATGTTTTTTTAAAATAATAGTTGGCATCTGTATGTCACCGTTGAATTTCTGAGTTCTCATTCTTGAATTGTTCAGTTTTTCTTGGTTAATATACTCAGTCATATTTCTAGTTCCTCATTAATCTAGAATGTTCCCAAGATTTAGTCACCTCAAATATCATTTGTTTTACCATGTCTCTGTGTTGCATTTACTTTTTGGTGCAATTTCATATGTAATATTTAGCATGTGGTTATAGACAAGTGAACATTGGAACGTGAGGCTTATCCCTGTAATGACTAAAGCTATAACTGAATCTAAGTTGTCATGTTGTCCTTTCATTTTCTTAGCCTTAGCCATATTTGTAATAGTATAAATGCTTGCTTGGCTAATCAATCTGGAAGAAGTTTATAGTTTGTTGCTTCCCTGTGTTTCCTTGTGTCATTGTTGGCTGACTTTTTAGTGTAAGGTTTTCCTTTACTTAATGGGTGAGTATTGGCTTGCTTATGGAATAGAAGAAGTTTCACACCTTAGTATGTAATAAGGGGTGCCTATACTCCTTAGGACATTAAGTACTTCTCTCATACTGACCATTGATCAAACACTGATGTCTATAACAGTTTTTGACAACATTCAATTTTTTTTCCGTACACAAGCTACACTGTTGTTTGTACCTTATGGAACATTTTTCGTCTTTGAAATGGTAAACAAAAGATTGCTCTGTTAATTTGTATCTCTCATTTTATTTGCAGTAACTTCGTCTTTTATTGTCTTTCTCAACCCATAAATGAGTATAATTTCTTAAATGTAACTGCACTGTCTCCTAATTTTAACAATGGCCAGGACAAAAGTTGCAATCCCGCAAGGGTGAGCTAACCCTAAAAACCCGTCCTTAGTTGAGATTGCGAGCTTCAACTTACTTGCATGAAACCAGAATCACTAGTAATCACTGGTTAGCCATATTGCTGCAACATTGTCTGCTGGAGTCAATTCCATTTAATTATTTGGAAAGAAATATTCAGTGCCATTCATTTTAAACAGAAGCCCCTTCAAATTCTTTGCCCCGCTGCAATGAAAAATTGGGTTAGTGCCATTTTCTCCCTAAGGTTTAATTGATGAGAGCGTAAGCACCACGTCTGGGGTGTTTGATGAGTGGAAAAGTTGTGAAACGGATTTACTCTTGGTGAATGCTGCAGGCTATTCTTTCTACTTCGGCATGTGTGTGTGTGTGTGTGTGTGTATGTCTTTTGGTATTACTAAAAGCTTTAAAAAGTTGAAGGCAGACTGCATTTTTCATAACATGTACAAGTTCAATCTGAATCCCTGCGGATATAATGCGAATAACCTGCCTTTCTAGATAATTTGATTGCGAAATCTTTTAATTGCTTATCATATTCGTTTTGTGTTTCTTGTCCTGTATACTTACAGGTGCTAGAGCGCATAATAACCATACTAATTAGCTGTGTACAAGTGGTTGATGGAATTATCTGTGAGTTTTCTTACTCGGACATTTATAAATATTGCTTCCATGGTAACATTGATAGGCAAAGTAAATGAATGCTCGTGGACTTCTACTTATTGTTTAGAGAATGCTAAAATGTCTCATCTTCATCTCTTTCTTTTAGCTTCACTGGATTTTGCTGGAAATTTTCTTCAACATTACTTTTCTTGGTTCTCTCTACAATTTCAGCACAGTGAATCAAGGACGCCAAGCAGGATAGGTGACAGAACTACTAGTGATGTCATTGTAAGGATTAGAACTCATGATGGCCGTGATGATCGGATTTACTGTCATTCACATATTCTTATGGGCAAGAGCAAGTATTTTGCTGACAGGCTATCTGATAACTGGCCAACGTGCCAAATTCTTGACTCGCGCAACTGTGTTGAGGTTTATTGCCAAGAGTCTGACTTTGACTATCACATTACTGTCCTTCGACTCTTTTATATGACCTCAGATGTTTCCATAACTGACTTATGGCATGGTGTCAAAAATGCTCTTGGGATACTGAGAGTAGCTGTTGTGCTTGAATGCCCGCAAATTGTTGCTCATTGTGTGGACTATTTGGAAGCAGTCCCCTGGGAAGAAGCCGAGGAAGAAGAAATTTTAAAAATTATACCAGGCATGGGAGCACAAGCAGAGCCAGTACTTGCTCGGCTCCGGCCAGTCAATCCTCTGGCTATAGTTAAGATTTTTCTGTCAGCTATTCGTTTTGCAACATCATCACCCTCATCTTCATTGAATGATCTTAAAACCTCGGCTCAGGAGCAGCTTGAATACATGCTCACTGAAGACGATGATGCTCCATTGTTAACCGCGGATGATGAGATCAAATTAGAGGTGAGACAATGTGTCAACAGACTATCAAGCAGATTTGTAAATCTTGTGCATTCTTTGGTTGGTGATCTCCAAGAATCAGTTGCCGAGTCAGAAAAAATGGAATTATTTCAGTCCAACTTAAGTGATCTGTTATGGGCTTCTCAAATATTAGCGAAGTTGGAATCCTTGAGAGATTTTGTTTACAGCTGGGTGGAGACTTCGGAAAATATAGTTAAAGTTGTAGAGCACACATGCCCAGCAGGTGAATTGACTGAAGCAAAGTTAAAAGTTCTTGAAGTGACAGTTAAAGTCTTGGAAGCAATAGGATATGGGACTGTTATTTTGCCAACAAAAAAACGCCTAAACATGATTAAAATCTGGCTTCCATTCATAAGGGTCATGAAGTTTTCAATTGATTCTGTCACCTCCGACGATGACAAGAATCTGCTGTTAAAAATTGATGGTGAGCTCTGGCAATCATTGGAGTCGGCATTTGTTTCAATAATTCTCACATTGCCGTCAGGGAACCAGGCAGAAATTTTAACCGAATGGTTAGACAATAAGCACATTCGTTATCCAGACCTGACGGAGGCATTTGAGGTTTGGTGTTACAGGTCCAAGGTTGCCAAGCGAAGGCTCACAATGCTAGATGAAAGCCATCAGACGACTAACGGAGTATGATTTCTTCGCTTTCTTTTTTTATTTATTTTTTTCTTTTTGCATAATGATTAGAATTTTTTTGAAAGTGAAAGTGCTATTTGCACTATTCTAGTGCATTGGTTAGGTTGGAAAATGTTTCACCTGTGTATAATTATGTAAATCTGTTGTACACTATACTTTGAATTGCCTATCCAACTTATGCTTTATTTTTGGGGATTTTATAAAATGCCTGGGAGTTATTTTATCCATATCCATCTGTTTCTGGATTGCATTTGCAGAGGAGCTTCATCGCTGGGTGCTCTGCATTGATTATGATGTGAAATTTACTCGATGTCATCTAAGCTTTTGATGTGTTCACTGTGTTTACGAGGAAACTCTGTGTGCTTTTAGTCTTTGTAACATAAAACACCCAGTTTTTGCACTGATATCACATGTATCCTTGATTTAGTACTGACTACATTACACACTCTGTTACCTTTGCCCTACTGCTTTCGACTAGATTTTCCAAACCTAAACTTTAGAGTGTACGCTGTACAAAACTCTTATTGTTATTACTAGTGGAATATTTGGTACGTTGAACATAAAAATTAATAAAATTTTCAAACATTGTGCCGTTTCAGGGACCACATTCTAAGATATGTAGGGAGAGACCTCAAGTCTGTCATTTTAATAATCCAATTTTCTAAAATTGCCAAAATTTTGTCTTAGTATTTTCCTGCTTGAAAGTTTGATTTGCATTCAGAAGTTCAATTCGCCTATTTCATTGTGATAAGGGTGCCAACTCTTTTGTAGGGATGAACCAAAAAAATCGACAACTTATCAAATCGAATCAAAATTGAAGTTTTGAACTGTTGCTTTGGATTCACATAGGGCGGTCAACATTTTCTGTTCAAAACTGAATCGAACCTTTTAGAAATTTCTCAGTTTAGCTTTCGATAGTTAAAACTCGTTTGAAATCAAACTAAAATGTTCACTCAATTTTTATAAAATAAATTATTTGTTTTATCCAATATATTATATTATTGGTTCAATTTATACTTCCAACTATTAGCTCTTATAAAGAAATTTGTAAGTTTAAATTTTATAGTTGAGCCTTGTATTAATTTATTGGTTTGAATTTGTGTTGACACAAATATATATATAATGCTATTGTTACACAAGTTTCAATTTAAATGTTATATTAAAATTTCAGACTTGCATATTTATTTCTTTCACTTTTTGGAAAGACGTTATTTTTATGTCGTTAAAATTGTGGTTTGAAACCAAATTGAATTGCAAAAAATGATTTTGATCGAAAAATGAAATTGTTTGAAAAAATTCCATAATTTTTAATAACTAGAATACATTTTAATTGCATAAAAGATTCGTAACATTTACACAAGATCACATTTATGTCTCAAAACTTTTTCATCGTATTCTTATTCTCAAATGAATATAAATTGTTCCTAATTATGGTTTCTTTTCAAAATTTTCTTTAAGATGGAGTAAAAAAAAAAATTTATTTGTCCATTGTATTTTTAAATAAGCAAAATAAATAATAATGTGAAAATGCGATTAAATATTTGATCCTCATTTTAAAGCACGTTAATAATATTTTTGGACAAAAATCGTAACTAAGGACAAGATTTTCTACCAAACAGAGACTAAGGACAAAAATTGATAAAATATGTAGTTGAAATTAACTTAGATTAAAATTTTAATTTCTACCAAATAGAGACTATACCAACCATTTTACTTTTAGGCTGTGTGAAAAGCCATTTTTTCCTTGGAACTTGGAAAAAGAATTCATTTTCCTTGCATTTGGCTTGTTTGAAAAGCCAATTTTTCCATGGCTTTTGATCACGTTTCAATTTTTTTTGTTTTTTTTTTTTTTTTTTTTTCGACTTTTTTTTTTTTTTTTTATCATTTCTATTAATTCAACAGAGAAA